AGCAACAACCTCCTTTCCTCAGTCAGAGAATTGAAGATGGGTCGTGACTGGGTCTTCCAACATGACAACGACCCGAAGCACACAGCCAGGATAACCAAGGAGTGGCTCCGTAAGAAGGATATCAAGGTTCTGGAGTGGCCTAGCCAGTCTCCAGACCTAAATCCAATAGAACATCTTTGGAGGGAGCTGAAACTCCGTGTTGCTCAGCGACAGCCCCGAAACCTGACAGATCTAGAGGAGATCTGTGTGGAGGAGTGAGCCAAAATCCCTGTTGCAGTGTGTGCAAACCTGGCCAAGAACTACAGGAAACGTTTGACCTCTGTAATTGCAAACAAAGGCTTCTGTACCAAATATTAACACTGATTTTCTCAGGTGTTCAAATACTTATGTTCAACAGTGCAAGACAAATAAATTCTTTAAAAATCATACAATGTGATTTCCTGAATTTTTTTTTTAATTCTGTCTCTCAGTGTGGGAATGCACCTACAATGTGAATTTCAGACCCCTACATGACTTCTAAGTGGGAGAACTTGCAAAATCGCAGGGTGTTCAAATACTTCTGTTCCTCACTGTACACATTGAGTTTTTTTCTTTTTGTTTAACCAAAAAACCCACAGGTCCTCTTATCCAAACGTGATGTGGATGCAGGGATCTCGCCCCCTGTGCTATTGTACTCTGACAGCCGGAACTCCTCCTGTCATTATACACTGATCAGCACTTAAGACATTGGCTGGATTGGCTGATCAAATGTTGGCTTTCCAGCAAGACCATTTGACATAAGCTGCTTCTGTTGAACAGAGAAAAAACACACACATCCAAATGTTGAACCGGATGAATTTTGGTGTTTGCATACCCACTTTAAGACACTTCTATAGCATTGTTTTATTATATCCTCAACCTTTCCAGTTCCGGACTTTTGCTAGTACACTTTAAAAGAAAGATTAGCAGACAATTGTGCTCTCAAATCTGACCACCCTCTGATATCTCTGGACACATTTAGAATGTGATATACTGTAAGAACAATGTGACTGCATTTAGGTCACCTTTTGTTGACCTGTGTATATACAATGGTTTATTGACCCCTGCTGTAACTAATTACATAGCTCATCTATACAGCTATTTGGGGAAAAGCAAATATAGCCATAAGAAACAGAAATGTGAAGAAACTAGTGTAAAGCCCTGTACATATGATCAGAAAATCGTACAAAAAATGCAGCTTTCAATGCGATTGTACGATAATTCAATCGTTAGTACACAGCAATCGCCCGCAATTACTTGAAGGGACAAGCACAAAAATTTTACAATACCAGATCGTATGATTTTCATCTAATCAGTACAGTTTTCGGCCGAAAATACATTACAATACAATACATTACATCACTTTTCCAAATTTTTATTCTGTCATATGAGTATTTCAGTAACCTCTTCACTTTCGATATGAGACTAGCATGCAAAAAAAAATTATTTGTCCGATATTCTCAACATGTATATGGGGCTTAACGCTGGCCATACTTGGATTGAAATTCTGCCAGTTCAGCAGGGACCAGGCCAAGATTTGATTCATTAATGGGCAGGCTGTTCTATAGATCAACTTGGGAAAAATCAGCCTATCAGATTTTTTACATTCGATTACTGTGGGCAGCTATAGCTGCTAGCAATAATCATTGTGTTCTGAAAATTGAGTCATCTATTTGCTGCTTATATACACTGACTTTTTTTTTCATTCAACCAACGGGTTGAATGAAAAAAACTCACAGATCCATGCATCAACACAAGCAATGTCCCATCTACCTCTGTGTATTTATATCCTGACAGCAGGGACTCCCCACCTCCTCCCAGAATACACTCATCAGCCATTATCTGCACACACTGATCGAATATTAACTTTCCAGCATGATCATTCAACAGAAGCCAGCCATTATACTCAACAGCTAGCAATACACGCGGAGGTGTATACCCAACTTAAAGGTGACCAAAGATGAATCAAAATTTGGCCAGTTCAGCAGAAACCAGATGTATTCCCATCCATGTGTAGCCACTGCAGTTGAACAGAAGATGATCTATTGATTGACTTCTGTTCAATGTTGGATAAAAGTCGCTCAATCGGTCCTGCAGGCAACAGTAGGAGAGTCTCCCTGCTGTCTGAATACAATAGTGCAGCGGGGAGGATTCCCCCATCTATCTCTAATGTGTGGATGGGGTAATTGGTTCAATAAACTGAACCATATATAACCAGCCTAAGGCCCCTTTCACACGAGCAGTCCAGTTTTTTCAGGCAGACTCGATCGGACCCTCCATTTTCCTCTATGGGCAGTCAGATGTAAACTGACTTGTGTCTGATTACAACTGACTACCTCTGATCCAGCAAAAAAAAAAAAACAGAAGGGGATCAGTTCCTCTCCATCTGGCTGGGTCAAATCGAAGAGCTGGCTCTTGTAAATGGACTGCTGGTCCATTTCTATCTGGCTGTCTATAGAGCAAAGTGATCTGTGTCCGTGTCTGCTCTGCATAAGCAGGACGGACACGGACCTGTCATCCAGGCACTCCACTCAGCTCAGCATGGGATCAGAGCACATATCCCCTGCTGAGCAAAACGGATCCAGCCTGTGTGAAAGGGACCTTAGTCATCTTGAGAATCTCATAGTTCCCAACTGTCACTCATTTGAAAGAAAGAAACTGTCCCGTGTTTTAACCAAATCCCTATGTGCATCTTTCCTCATTAGTTTTCCCTCTTTATGGTCTGATGTCTGGACTTCTATAAAGAAATCTTCATTTAACTACTAAAAATGTTAAATTTTTTAAATCTTTCCTACAGCCTCAAAATTATTTTAATTTTTTATTTTAAAAAAGCCAGTAGAAAATAAAAGTAGTTATACAAACAAAAAATTGTGGCTTTAACAAAAAATTTTCTGTGTTAATTCTCTATAATTGTCATAATTGGGAAATGTGGTGGGGTTTGTTTTATGCCTACATACTATTTGTTCCTCTTTCTCATCATGGGAATCTTAAGGTTTTTTTTCGTTACCATGTGTTGTCCCTCTGAGTATGTCAGAAGCCTGCACAGTTATTATAGGAGTAAATAGAATCCTGCAATGGGGAATGATGTATTCTGCCAATGCTGACCTCTGCTTTTGGAATTACTTGCTCACAAGGGAAAAGATTCAGGTTCTGGTTGAACATGAGTTTGACCCAAACCCAGCCTATTCAGTTTTGCATATGGTGAAAAAAAAGCCATTTTGCTTAGCCCCTTGCAGGGCACCTTTTCCCCATCTTGTCCAAAAGGAATGTAGGAGTCTGAAGGGGGACTTATCCGAATCTGAAAGCCCCTTTTGGAATAAGACCCCTCAGAAAAAAAATGATGTCTCTTGATTTAAGTCTAACATCAATCATGTGTTCCAGCAATGTAGATCCTTGACAATCGCCAGGATCGGCCAACTGAGTTTGCTGACCCACCAACAGGCTAACACGCTACTCCCATTGTAAATGACAGATCCCCAGCTGGCTACTGAATGTAAACAGACAAGCCAGGAAAAACTGGGTGATGTCCTTCACCACACATCGTCATAACCATATTTGGTCAATAATGTCACCCAGCAGGGATCTGTCATTGTAGTGGCAGGTTAACATTTTCAGGCACAGTGGGTTGTCATGCAGTGGATTATTGTGACTGATATGATGCTACAGCACTGCACATGATTGACGATGGATTCATATTTTTTCATATATGTATATATAAAGGATGTGAATAGTTTTTATTTACTATTTACATTTTATTTGTGAAAAGGTAAGAAAGCAGGGCAAATATCTGGGGGTCCTTATTCCAAAGGGGGCTTCCAGATTTCAATAAGCCCCCCACAAGCTCCCCCCCCATCTTTTTTTTGGGCACAGGATCTGGGGATGACGTCCCTGTCATCATTAACATGGGGACAAGGTGCATGTCAAGAGAGAGAGGCTTTGCTACCCCCACCCCCATCCACCCTGCTTGCTACGTACTCTCCCAACGTTGAGGGCATGTAGTCTGGTATGGTTCAATAGTGGGGCTTGAATGCACCCCCTTTCCTGGACACCCAGTCTACATGCCTGAACAGGGGGCTTTTATGGACTTTTGGTGGAACTGCTGTTAAATAGCAGATCCCTGGCCACTGTTTCTAAAAAAGTAACCAGTACATGTCCCCAATGGCAGCCCCTAGCTACTCATGCCCCCTTTTTAACAAAAGGATTTAACAGGGTTCAGTTTTATGTTTGGGTTTAGCAGATATTTTCTTGGGTGTGCTGAACCTTCTGTAAACTGACATTTGCCAGGTTTGCTCTTCCTTATTGTTTTCTGGCCATTGTGCTGTTCTTACGGCTTCAGTATTGCTTCAGTATGGCTTCAGCTCCTTTTAAGTGACTTGAAGCACATACCAATCAAACATTCTGAAATCATTTTTAAGCTCGGCATACATGGGCAGCCGGTTTCACAGGGATCCAATATGGGCAGACTGTTTTTTACAGAAGTCAATCAACCGACTCACTTCTGTACAACTGGCCTGTTGGAAAATTTCTGCATGACCAGCTCATCCAGCTATAGCCTAAACTAGTGTCCCCATTGGAAGATTTCCTTTGTATTGCTGGTGACATCCCAAAATTGGGATTTTCTTTCATATTTGGTGATAATAGTAAACAGGACAATAAAGAGAGTGTGAATCTCCCTAACAGGGACACAGACAGCGAAAAAAAACATTACAGGTGTTCTAATCTCTTTCCACTTAATCCAAAACTGAAAAGAAAAAAAAAAATTTTGCCTTTAGTCATACTTTAACAGCCTCCATATAGTAATATGACAGACGCAATTTGGTTCTCTCATTCTGGGAGGACATCATATAACATCCTCCCATTTCTAACCGCGCATGCGTGGCTCCCGGAGCGCGCAGCGTGGTGATCGGCTGTGTGCTGTGTCCCTCGGACACATCGGATCACTGATCTACAGAAAGAGCTGAAGATTTCGGCTCAGTCATGTGATCAGCTGTGTCCAATCACAGCTGATCACATGTAAACAGGGAAATGACAGTTATCGGCATTTCTCTCCCCACGAGCTGTAACACTGACAGCTCGTGAGGAGAGGAGAGCCGGTAATCTGCATTCCTCGGAGGGGACATGTACACTGATCATCAGAGCACTGATGATCTGTGTAGCCCCAGCACCGCCACCTGTCAGTGTCCATCAGTGCCAGCTCTCAGTGCTCATCCATGCCACCTGCCAGTGCCCATCAGTGCCACATTTCAGTGCCACATCAATGCCACATATCAATGCCCATCTGAGCTGCCTTTCAGTGTCACCCATCAGTGCCAGTCAGTGGCACCTATCAATGCCAGTCAGTGCCACCTAGCAGTGCTGCCAATCAGTGCCACCTATCAGTGCCAGTCAGTGCTGCCTATCAGTGCTAGTCAGTGTCGTCTATCAGTGTGCATCAGTGACGCCTATCACTGACCGTCAGTGCTGCCTATCAGTGCCGCCTAACAGTGCCAGTCAGTGCTGCCTATCAGTGCCAGCCAGTGCCGCCTATCAGTGCCATATATGAGTGCTGCCTTTCAGTGCCCATCAGTGATTCCTGTCAATGCCCATCAGTGCCACCTACCAGTGCCTCCTCATCAGTGCCCATCAGTGCCAGCTATCAGTGTCCATCAGTGTAGCCTATCAGTGCAGCCTTTTAGCGCACATCAGTGAAGAAGACAAATCACTTATTTACAAAATTTTATAACAAAAACTAAGAAAAAACGTTTAGTTGTTTTTCAAAATTTTCAGTGGTTTTTGGTTTGTTTAAGAAAAAATACCCCATACTCATTCACAAGGGGGGGTTTCCAGATTTCTAAGCCACCCCCCGCAGACCCCTACAGCCACAGCCCAGTGTTGTGGGGAAGAGGACCTTGTGGGGACAAGATACTTTGGGGGGCCTCCCTACCCAAAAGCACCCCCCCATGTTGAGGGTATGTAACCTGGTACAGGCCTGGCCTATGCTCGAACCCAGGATCTGATAGGAATTTTTTCCCCCATTTCTTGGGGGTAGGTTTCTACTTAAAAGTCCTACCAGGCCTAAAGGGCCTAGTATGGCTTTAAGGGGGAACCCGACTCTCTTTTTCCCCCATTTTTTGGGAGGTGGGGTTTCCTTTAAATGTCCTACCAGGTCTAAAGGACCTAGTATGGCTTTTTGGGGGGAAGCCCATGCACTTAAAAAAAAAAAAAAAAATTACTGTGGGGTCCCTCCTAACCTTTCTACCAAACTTAAAGGGTCTGGTATGGACTGGAAGGGACCCCACGCTTTTCTTTTCTTTTTTTTTATAAAAATTAATTTTTTACAAAGATTTTCAGTCCTGCTGCAGCAGGTTTTATACATTGTACGCATGTGAAACTTTGCAGGTAGTTTAAGGGGACCCCCCAGGCATGACTGCCCCTTTTCACTGATTCATGTCCCTCATACCCCCATACCCATTTTATGGTCAAAAACATGCATATAAGCCTTCAAAATTGGCTCTTTTGAATTTACAAGTTCGAGTCCCATAGACTTGCATTAAGTTCGCAGTTGAACTTTCACTAGGTTCAAATGTTCGACTGCGAACCAAACGGAGGTGTTCGGCCCATCCCTAAAAACTTTTCTCTTCAGAGAAGTCTATCCTGCCTCCACCTAACAACTGTCCATGTTTTTTCTCCATTATCTCTTCCCCCAAAATTATGACCCTTTGTATCACTATTCCCTCCCCTTTTGAATGTTAGCTCTAATGAGCAGGGCCCTCTGATTCCTCTTGTATTGAATTGTATTGTAACTGTACTGTCTGCCCTCATGCTGTAAAGCACTGTGCAAACTGTTGGCGCTATATAAACCCTGTATTATAAATAGAGACAAAATTGCAGCTCAATGTGTAAACTACCACTGCAGAGCTGATTTACTATCTACTAACTAGATTATTGGACATCTGTTCACTCCAAACAGCCAAATGGTTTAGGAGAAAATGTTTACTTCACCTTATACCAATTAGTCATATAGTGATAAAATGTGTTTGTTGGTGTGGAGATGTTTTTATAGGCAGCCTATAAAAATAATGCAGATGTCTTACTGAGAACAAAGGGGTGAGAATCAGTTAATCTTTCCTTTTATTATCTTAAAGTGGAACTTTATGTGAAAAATAAAAATGGCCGAACAGGCAGGATTTTTAATGCAGAAGAGACATGCTTTGTCTCCTCTGTATTAAAATTACCTACCTGCCTGTCCACCCCTGTACAGTGAGCTGCACACACGCAGCTCACTGTAGAAATTCAGCAATGCTGAAGCAGGCAGAACTCCCATGTATGGGCGGAGTGACAAAAACCCTGTCCAGCCAATGAGAGTGGCCAGTGATCGATACTTGGAAGCTGGCCACTCAAAGATGTCAGCAACCGGGGGAAGCTCCAGGACATCGCATTGTTGGAGCTGAGGGGAGTATAGTTCTGTAAAGTATATGTAAATCCAATCAGTAAAATCTAATATAAGCTTCAGCATGCAAATGTAATTTAAAAAGTCATTTTTATGTAGCACCCTCTAGTGTGCTACTAGAATAGTGTAGTGTATTGCAGGTAAAATCATTGTGTATGACTCATAGTAACTGTGTGAGTCTGTGGTTGAGGTCGGGTTATTGCAGGTCAGCTGGATGACTTAACAGGTTGTGGCTCTATTGCCTCCTCCTGACTCTGGAGGACCATAGAACCTTCCAGAAGTTGGTAAGCAAGAAGGGGTGGAGACCTAATCTGAATGTTTATGGGAATTTGGGGGCCCTGCAGAGTTGTGGACCGGCCCATAAATATGGGAGAGTCAGACTGACAGAGGGGGTCGGATGGGAGATGGAGTGCTGAGGAGACTGTCGGTGCCAGGGAGAGGTCCCCTAGGTGTAGGGGGGGGGGGGGCAGCCTCCAGCCTGGGCTGGAGCTGGCTTGGGGGGATACATTCAGCAGTGTAGCATGAATGGGATCGGGACCTAGAGCTGCAGACAGCAAAGAGGACAGAGTGAGTACAGCAGCACTTTCTGGGATCTACAAGGGGAAAGACTGCTACACGTAGCAAGCAAGCGCTAGGCTCAATCCTTCATCCTTGTCCCGGGAGATCTTCCGAGAATCCAGGAGGGTTGGTAGTCTTTGCAGTCTGTGGAACTGGGAGCAGCACTACAGGGGGAGAGAAGACATCCCTGCACGTAGTCATGAGAAGTTAAGCAGATTTTTGAGGGGTTGCTAGTTCCTCGCCCATAAAGGGCAGCAGCTACTGATCCATAACGACTGATGGCTTTCAAGAAAACAACAGTCCAGAATCTGCTTTTGTACATAGCAAGGAAGTTGCCCCACTCCCCCTTCATTGATTCAAGCCTATTGTGCCTTCCATATTCCCTATTTCCCTATCCAAGTTAATTTACCCTAATAAAAACAAAACCAAGCTCACGGACTGGTTACTGTCTCTTGGATGCAAGTCTGTGATAAATACCTGTTGCTTGGCTGTGCAGAGAGCTTAGGGGTACCCAGCACACAGCAGCCCTCATGAGGGTAGCGCTTCAATTTAATATTTTGAAATCTGAAATCTGTAGCATTCATTAAAACAATACCTGGTAATTCTGCCATATTGTTTGGGCACTTCCTGTAATAAGGTGACAACGCTCTGTCCCTGTCTCCCAGTTGTGCTCACCCTGTCACGCTGGCTTCCAATGTAGTCTAGAACTGGCTGTTTAAACACACATTACACAGGCATGGCCCAATGTTATCACCATCAAGAAACCCACTGAGAAATGTAATGCAGCCATCACCAGAGTGCCTGTATTCAGACAGAAAGTGGCTGCAAAGAGACCGCATAACAGTGGCGGCACTAGGATGCAACAAAAGTTAAACAAAGTGAAAACAAGTATTGTGTGTTAAAAAATATTACATGGCAATTGTTTATGATTTACAGTGTTTAGTAAAGGAAATTTCAATAATTTAAGGTGTACATGTACTTTAATATTAGGGAAGTGCTACTGTTATTTTTTTTTACTTGGATGGTTGTCACACTTGTGACACACTAGTTAGCCTCCACACAATTCTATAGCTTCAGTTTTAAGCAATGCTAAAAAAAAAGCTTCAAAAACAATTTGTCATAATACTTCCAACTTTTAGACTGTTAATGGCCACCTCAACCTAAAAGTGAACACATTATAATCTGATAACACGAAATCTGTACAGTTTGTAAAGTATTAGCGGTTTTGGATATAAACTATGTAGTGTAAGAGAATAACTAGATAATCCATTGAATTTTTATCCAAGCAGGCATAATCTCACATTACATGTTTTTTAAATCAAAAGGAGATTTTACCATCACAATACAATGTGTTTGGGTAGCTAAAAGCCGGCCATAGATGATTAAAAATCTCGGCGGGTTCAGCAGGGACTGGACTTGACTTGATCCATTGACGGGCAGACTGATTGTACCCAAGTCAATCCAGCAATCGACTTGGTACAATCACCCTGTCAGATTGTTTACATGTGACTAGCTGGTGGTGATAGCCGCCAGCAGTAATCATTGTGTTCTGTTGGCCAGGAAGGCTCCCTGCTGGCAGAACACAATAGGTCTACGGGAGGGATTCTCTCATCAACACTAACTGTGTTGGTGAGGGAATCAAGTGATTTTCTTAACTGCAACCCATGGAAAATTAAATCATCTATGGCTTGCCTTTGACATACCATTACACAGCATCAATGATGTGCTATACCAATAGTTGCTCCATTAACTGCATGCTAGAACTTACATACACCTACTGGTCATCATTCATTTCAGACATTTCATGACATCAGCAATCAAGTACTATATGAAACTATATATTTTCTTTTTACCTATTTGTGATTCGGGTGTGCAACACAATATTCTAGAATCATTTGACTACAATTATTTGCATGCAAAAGATTATCCACAATACTTTCATATATGTATTTCTGCATGGTCATTTAAAAGTATGTTGTACATTTAACAAAACCATATTTATATAAAAAAAAAATATTTCACCACACTTATCCTAATTTCATTTTTATGCTCATTATTATAATGTAACTTTTATGTATTTTTTTTTATATAGTACGTTTATAAACTACATATGTAAGATATTCCTCCTAAGCTTACATGGGTTTCATCAAGCAAGGATTCATCTTATTGGTAGGTTAATTAACTTCAGCATTAATTATCCACAGTGTGTCTGTATAAATATGCAAGACACATATATTCCAAGACAGGGTTTCTCAATTAGGGTTCCTCCAGAGGTTAGCAGGGGTTCTTTGGGCAATTAAGCGTTTCTAACTTCCAGTAACTACTGATATCAATTATCTTTTTAGCTGTGTGTA